CATTTTCATAATTTTACACCATTGCTGTACAAACAAAATAAAACGTATTCAGCCTTTACCAAATGTGTAACTTTCTGTTTCACAAACTCAGATAAACGTGTTTCTGAAAATGAGAACTTATACTATTGGTTGAAAAATATTTACATGTGACGCATCAGTAGTAAAACGATTTAATTTGTTAAATCCATGACCATAATATATGATATGCACAAATACAAAAATTATCAAACTTTATATACGTACGATGAAAAGTATGAAACTTGCATTTACTGTAAATTTGTAGTTCAACAGCAAAAATAAATGCTTTATACAATAAAAATACCATATCGAAGCTTTAAATGACTAATAATGCTATTAATAACGTAAAGGTTTGACAGAAAAGAAGAGTGAACGTAGAGAATTAAGGTTGTAGAAAAGGTGCTAAATAGGTGTTTGGAAAGTCGCTTTACGAATTAACAATTCTGTACCATCGGAAGAACTGAATTAACTTGCTGGCATCAATTCCAAGAGGCTGGATTAGTTAATCTGCGATCGGCTGGCATCCATTCCCAGAGGCTGGATTAGTTAACCTGCGATCGGCTGGCATCCATTCCAAGAGGCTGAATTAGTCAATCTGCGATCGGCTGGCATCCATTCCAAGAGGCTGGATTAGTTAACCTGCGATCGGCTGGCATCCATTACAGAGGGTTGGATTAGTTAACCTGTAATCGGCTGACATCCATTCCAGTGGCTGGATTAGTCAATCTGCGATCGGCTGGCATCCATTCCAGGGGGCTGGATTAGTTAACCTGCGATCGGCTGGCATCCATTCCAGGAAGCTGGATTACCATTCTCATCCGCTTGTGCCATTGAAACCGGAGCTCAGCACCAATTCTTATGAGCCATCTGGGCGCAGGGAATGAATTTGACTTCTGACAGCTTGTGGTGTAAATAGAGGTATTAAAATCATAGGAATATTTATTCTCAAAAAAAAAAAATATATATATATATAACAGAAGTGGTTAAATCCATTAGATTCTAATGGTTCAGATAATTTATGATTTAGGTTTGGAATTTATAAATATCATGACTGAAATCTAGTCATCTGTGTAATTGTATAGCACGTCATTCAGCATTTTTGTCAAGTAAATTTGATTTTTTTCCTGATTAAGGAACATTCTCTGGGAGTTATGTCTTCAGTGTCATTCAGTAGTGACATTTTATAGTTTTGGAGAGATTATTATAGAAAATGCTTTTGTACTTTTTTAACCTTTTTACTGATCCATAACACTTAAGGTTTTGAAACTAACAAACAAACTTTGATATCCTTTCCTGCAAGGATAGTTAAGAGGCCACTTTAAGCATAATGGGTTTAAACTGGTTACGATACACTGGATGATTTTGTTTTAGGAAACCAAGTGTTTCGTAGAGGGATTTTAATTAACAACGACCAATGGTGTGCGTATTTGAGGAAAAATATTAAGTTTGGTGTTCTTGCTATATATGTCTCTCACCATATTTCAGATCATTAGCTTACAATACAAAGTCTTGAAGAACTAGTGAATATCTTAACTCTAGTATTATTTAAAAACTAAAATACGTCCTATTGGTAATCCATTTTAACTACTGGGTTTTTGGTTTTGGAATGATTTAAAGATAACAAGCAAAAAAAAGACAATTATTAAAGTTTCAGAGTTATAAAAACTTAAGTTAAAATAAATAACTGTTCTTTTTTATACTGTTTAACAATAATAATTGGTCCTTGTCATGGCTTAGGAAACACTTTAAGGAAAGAGTAGTTTTTAATCCTCTACTTTGTCCACAGACAAATGAGACAGTACACAATATACAATGAACAAGTTTAAGCTCCATATTTGCTGCCAGTGAATGAAGGAAATACTTGGTTTCCCAAGAAGACTTACAGTTGTGGTTTCTGAAAACGTATCTATGCAATATAACGTTGTTTAGATGATGGATTCTTGTTTACGAGTTTAAACCTGACAAAAAAAGGTCCATTTCGAGAGTAGGAACTAGGCTTAGTTAAACAACTTTCGTGAATACAAAAAAAATAAAAAAAAACAGCAGTTAAGTTTAAAGAGGTCTCAAATAAATAAACAAACGTCAGCTAAAGATACTGTAAGTGATTTTTATTCACTTTAAAATCCACTCGTACGGCTTTGTTTTCTATAAATGATACGTAACGCCATTTTGTGGTGTGTGGTGATTGGATTTTGGAGACAAGAATAAATTGGCATTCGTTCATTCCATGACTGTAATGTATAGTTTGCATGTACAAATGATTCTTTGTTGTAGGATTGGTGAATAACTGGAGACGACTTAGGAAGACGAGCAAGTCTGTGTCGTGCTGGCTGATACGATCGACGTGTTTTCAAGAAAATAAATGGACCATCTTTTTAAGCAACTGAGTGATACAATTTATAGTTGAATATGTGGGAAGATTGTTCTGGTGAACCCTCATCATTATTTTTAATTTGTTGGAGTTAGTTATTATTAGATACCAATCAATAAAAAGGCCGTTGTAAAATGACTTACAAACTCGGAGAGTTTTATATTAGATTTATCCCTACTGAAACAAGGTAGTTTTAGCCACTCATCATTAATATCAACAATCTCAGGTAAGAAACAAAAAGTCACTGAACTCAGTCGTGAAAGACATAAAAAAATATGGCCACTTCTATGCATTAATTGTTTGTATTTTAACAGCCATGTGTTTTCCATCGTTGTTCCTGAAGACTTGTTACATAAGCAGTGACGACCTTGAGCACGAGGCTCGCATCGCTGGTGAATTAAAAATAACATTTAAATTGAATATGCATTTAATATTTTCATCTCTCGCAATAGCACAACTAATTATTTGATGTTCAATCCCTTAAAATAATAGTTAGGCACCTTATTTGAGTCTTACTTTAAACAAAATTTATTAGTGGGGACATGCCCCCCCCCCTAAATGTCTCGCTAGTACTCAGCTTATTGGTTGACTGAGTGATTTTGATTATTTTGCTGTGTGGGGCCTCGTGACACCTGATGCCTTACCATTTCTATAAAACTTAAGGTTTCCTCGAATCTACCAACTGGAACCTTAATATTCTTGTGATAAACGTAATGAAATAGAAAGCGAATATTAAAGGAAAGAATACTTAAAACAAAGTGTTAAGTCTTATAGCCTAGACTTACGAAGGGGATCTGTTGATGTGGTATTTGTGTAATATTGTATCACAGTAAAGATGATAATAATTTTAATCATAATTTGTTAAATCTTTAGTTTTCGGAAGTTTCAGGGTTGTCAAACATATTTTGGGCTCAGTTTGTTCTATATTTTAGTGTTTGTTTGTTTGTT